TGTCAGCATTGTACCGGCGCAAAGCCGAAGCGGGTCGTTAGTAATATCCATTTAGAACACAGCTATAAGACAAAGTTCAAGAGCTTGTTTAGTCGTAGTACGGTAATCTTTAAAGCTCCAACTATAGGACCATCACTTGTGAATAACGTGACAGCAACAATTGCAATCAATCAAACACGAAACAGCGTTCAGTATTCAAATTGGAAAGTTTTAAATAATCGTTATTTATTTCCATAAGTTTTCGCAAATCACAATTATCTGTCCACATTAGCATCAAAGCGTAACGCAGTTGATTTATTGTAAAATTTGCGTGCAGCAATTTTAGAAAACCGTCACATGACAGATCAAGATCACATATTGAAGTTAGATTTTAGCGCGATTTAATGTAGATTACCCAATGGCTAATTATGTAGTAGAAACTTACGGTTCCTGCATCGGCCGGGAAGTTGTGTTGAAGATAATTAATTTAGAAAATTATCCGTTCATAATCGCTGACAAGGTTTAGTGGACATTTACGATGTTAGAATCGGACATGGTAATTAGAAGAACGAGTGCAGTTAAGAATTGGCCCGGACTACGGATATAAGTGTGGGGAGTCAAGCTTCGGCACGAATGGGACGGCTCGACCGGAGGTATACCACGACCTTATAGAAAACCCAAACGAGAGCGATAAGTTTCGCCGTGTGAGTGAGGTTACCGCAGGCCCAATCCTTCCGCTCCCCATATCCCTCTCCAATCTCTAAATCTCTGAAACCCTAATCACTAAAAGCCCGGCAACGTTCTCATAACTCCTCTAGTGTTGCGGGTGTCGATGGACGGCGCAAATTGTTTACAATAGGTAATCCGTCCGCTTGTTTACCGACATATCACGAAAAAAATGGCCGAAAATGGATATTGCATACTAACAAATGCCAATCAAAAGTAACTTTACTAGTTTTTTTCATCTGAAAAAAGAAGAAGATATCATACTAGTACGGTTAAAATTCAATGTTTTTTAATAAATAACTGACGTTTAACACACAAGGTCGAGACGACGCATAGATTTGTACTTTAGGTTCCTTTACATAATAATGTCCCTAATGCATCCAAACAATGATTTGTTAGGGTCAATGTGACCTCTTTGCGCCGACATTACGTCCAATAAAACGGAAATTCTATGCTAAGAAACCTATTATATTGTTAGTACAACAGCGATCTGACACAAAGACAGGGAACTATGTTCCACAGTGATCGGCGAGAATAGGCATTCGGCTAATCGCAAGGCCGCGGGTGGAATGTTGATAGAGAATTGTTGACTCAGCTCAGCTGCCTCTTGACTTATGCGCGCCTGGTACCTTGATTAGGTTGTATTGATATTTTAGCTATATTAAAATTATATTCATATTATCCAAATTAGTTTGCTCACATTTTTTTTATCCTGCTACAAAGCGGTCTGTTTGTTTTGATAAAAATCGAATGTCAGACAATTTCAGTTAATTTATCCAAAGCAAAGCATTCATGCTCCCGATGGTACCATGCTCATAGTTTGTCTGCAAATCTTGTGGCTAATGAAGGTATTCGTACCTTTTAATTCGAGTGCATTATTTTGACAACCTTCGCCCTGCAGTTCGGCCGCTAGCTCGTTTATGGGTTGGCCTAGTCTGACTTGACATTTCTCGTTGTTTATCTCACTTTTGTCCTAAAATCCCTAACAACCCACAAAATCCCGCACTTTCAACTTATAACTCCTGTTGTATTACGGGTGTCCTTGGGCAGCACTGAATACTTCCAGTCAGGTGATCTATTAAGTCTCATAAAAAAGATTTGCTATCCACGTATATGTAGTAGAATTTTGGTCATTGCTCTCTTGGTTTTTCTTTGAAAACTTATAAAATACATATTTCAATGTTACTGTCGCTGGTTGTGCCTCATAGTTCAATACGGTTTGTCCACATAGGCTTTAGTATAGTTATATTTATAGCCATCATACTGGCATTTATCAATTGTGACTTACGATCGATGAACCAATACAGGCTGTGTATTTCACTGTGCAGCGCACTAACTTCCGGGTTCGATTCCGGCACGGAACAACTGAGTGTGATTCACTAACTGTTCACAAACAGTTTTAGGTCTGAGTGTGATGTGTGATGCGAACTTGTATGTTTCTAAATGCAACCACGATGGAGGAGAAAATCCTAGTGTGGGGTCAGGTTTAAAAAACAAAAAAATAAAAGAAAACTGTGGCGTCATAATTCATATACATTTGGCAATACGTTTGCTATGTGTAAGATACCACAGCCTCGGCTCTTTGGTAAAAAAGCGTACCTACATAGGCCGTTGCCCATCATAGAAATACAATGTAAAAAGAAGTCAAACTAGTTTCGGCTGAACTTAAGGAGGATTGGTCAAGTCTATAATAAAATATGTCCTCAGAAACAACCTGTTTACAGTTTTTGCTGTTAACGGTAACATTTCGACGAGTATGTCACCTGTTAGGCCATTCTTAGAACAATCGAGGCGTGAATCGTGTTCTTTTGTGTTTTAGAAAGAAATATCTACTTATAGAGAAGTAGGTTCATAGTATTGTAGATTCTAAACCATAGTATGTTAGAACTCGGGCAACTATAATGAGGCCGTTTGCTTGGTAGTCGCCCTTGTAAAGCAACGTAGAACAATGTAAGAATGATTTCCAAAACCGGGCAATGTAGGATAGGAACTTCTTTTTATCATCCGTACTGTTCCCGCAGGTGTATTTAAATAGTGATTAAAGTACTACATATTTGGCAACCAATGTATCGATGATCCGGAATCCAGACAAGGCTCTCTTCCTCAGGCTATATGCCTCCGCAGGATTCGGGAGTTTTATGGGCACACTGCCAGAAGGGACAATGATAACTTGGAAAAGTTACAGATTACTGGTAAAGTGGAAGGAAAGAGACCTAGGGATAGAAGTCCGATACGTTGGACGGATGAGATTCGCACCACTCTCAACACTACAATCCACGATGCTCTCCACTCGGCTGCAGATAGAAATAGATGGTGGAGAGTAATACGCAGTACACTGCTTCCACGAGGTGATAACGACTCTCAGCACTGAGGAAACCAACGCGAGGAGGAAACATCTTAAGAAAAACCTGGACTTATAATTTCTTATTATAAGTTTGAAATCGCCAATCTGGCTTGAGCGAACGTGGTTATTAATGTTCAAATCTTCTTTGTGTGACACTTGTAGGCTGATGATGATAATGACTCAAGAGCAAGCTGCTACCAAAAGCTTTGATATCAATACAAAAATGTATATATCAAAACTTATTATTAATATAATTGAGTACCTAAGTAATAAATAAATGGAATGTTTAACATATCGGGTGCGATACCGTCACGTTTTGAGACGAAGTTGCTTCGTAGTTCGTACGTGACTTTGTTGTAGTGCCGTGACGTAATAACGCGTTCAATCGTTTCATATTGTGATTGTTACGATACTAGATACTATAGGTATTGTAATCTATAATATAAAAATGAATCGCAAAATGTGTTGGTAAGCGCATAACTCCACAACGCCTGGACCAATTTGGCCAATTCTTTTTTTAAATGTTTATTAAAGTCCAAGGATGGTTCTTAAGGCAGGAGGAAAATCTTATAATTGCCGGGAAAACCAGAAAAACAGCCCATTTCTTTTTCACGTACAAACGTTGGGACGACGTCAGGACGAAGTCTGTCGGGTCAGCTAGTGCCTTATATAAATACGTATAGTATATTATAAAAATCTTCGCCTAGGTCCCTGTATCAAGACTATATAGTGTGAAACAAAAGTGCTTTTTCTGTCCCTATACCTATCCCTGTGTATGCTTAATTAAATCATTATAACTAAGCGACGGATCTTGATGCGGATTATTTTTAATAGATAAAGTTATTCAAGAGAATGGTTTATATTTTAATTAATAATACGCTAATTTAGTTTCAGCATTGCACCCGTCCAAAGGTGGGGCGGGTCGCTAATTAATTAAGATTCCTCGTATTTTGTTCAACTTAATTTTGAATGTGCTAACAGTGCTTTTATTTTGAGCGAATTTGTATCATGGTGCTACTTTTTTTGCAAATTCAATGTATGTACCTGCCTATTTTAAGCCAACACTTTAGTTTGGTCATGTCGCTAATATGAAGTAAGTATTATCCTCTCATTTAAAATAATAAGACTTAGGCGCAGACATCCAATGTTTTACTTGTTATATCAATAGTAATGCGTAGTTTACCTGTCCATTAAGGTGTGCGGAGACAAGCAGCACTCTTGCAGCGCGGTGCACCTCCACCAGCTCTCCGGGCAGGGGTGCGGCGGCGCCAGGTGGCTGGAACCACACCGAGGCACCCTCCGACCACTCCGACAGCCCCCCGGAGCCCGCCATGCTGGAATAAGAGGTATAGGTACGTTAGCATCCAGGCTGAAGAGGCATTCATTAAATGAGTTTTGGAAATATTAATTATATGGAACTGTTCAAAGTAGTTCAAATCTTGTACCTATGTGATTCTTAATAGATTTTATTTGTGTAGATTCGACACATTTTATTTCAGTGGGTACGTATTTATGTAGATTTGTGTATATGTGCTTATTTATTTCTATTATAGAAAGCTTGACAAATTATGTTTTACAAACACGACTTCACGTCTGTTTAAAAGAGGTATGGCGGCAATGAATTGCCAGGTGACCTGATCCTGGCACACATTTCAAAACTTAAACAATACGTTCAGAATTGTGTGCATTGTTCGTTATATTACCGTATCTAGAACTGTCGCTTGCAGTTAAAGTAACACAAAGCAAGCTACATTCAGCACTGTGTAAATATTGAGTATCATTTTTACAACGCACGATCTAAAAGGTTTCCAATGAAAGACTTAAATATCAATTATATTTTTATTACAAAAAAGTTATTCGATTATCGAACTTAGAATTAAATATAACACGTAAGACATATTAACAATATACACTGTGATAACTAGTTAACGAATACAATCTATTCGAACTGTCACAAATAGATGGGCGAAGGGGAACAACCACAGCCGCACGGCGGAGACGACTGGAAGCAGATAGGAGTGGGGGGAGGGGGCTGTACACAGAACGGTTCCAGTGGAGGCGGCTGGACGCACATAGGTGGCGGTAGAGGAGGCTGCACCATTACTGGAGGTAAGGGAGGAGGTTGTACGTTGATAGGAGCAGGAGGGGGACTCTGCACACACATAGGGGGCGGGCACGGCGGTTGCACGGTTATAGGCGCTGGCGGAGGTAACTCAATCACCATCGGCGGCGGCGAGGGTGGCTGAACCATCATTGGTGGCAGCGGTGGTGGTTGCACTGGCATCGGGGGCATCGCAGGTGGCTGGATCATGATCTGTCCCAATGGCGGTGGTTGTACAACGATCGGTGGGGGAGGAGGCAGCTCAATTACAATCGGAGGTGGTAGGGGAAGGTCCAGGAATATCGCTGGAGGTGTCGGAGGGTTTACATACATTGTTGGAGGACAAGGAGGCGTCACGCACATGGGAGGTGGAGGAGGAGGTGTCACACAAATTGGAGGAATAGCAGGAGGAGTGATGGTCATCGGTGGCAACGGCGGAGGGTTGACCATTACAGGGGGAGCTGGAGGTGGCGTTACAGTGATTGGAGGAGGACATGGCAGTTCTATCATCATTGGTGGCAGTGGGGGAGGTTGGACCTGCAATGGAGGTGGGGCTGGGAGTGTGACATAGACTGGACAGGCTGGGGGAGCAGGGATGTTCAGCGGAGGAGAGCAGCAGCCACATTGCGGAGGTTGTGTTACGTAGGGACTGGCCGGGGGTGGCGTGGGGTACGACGACACGTAGTATTGGCCATCAACGATATGCTGGGAGAAAAAATACAAATGATGAGCTATTAGAAGAACTAAAACAACGATTGTATAAAAGAAAATTGAAAAGTCGTCATAAATATAATATAATTAATTAAAAAAGAATCTTACCTGAGCAACCGCTACCAACAGTAGGATTAACATTTTTCTAGTCACCTCCATCGGTGACCGATGAACTTGAACTTGTCTTTAGTCACAAACAAACCCTTTTTATATTCACATGTTACCCCAGAATTTTATGCAATATCGATACGAAAGTACGAAATCTTGATTAACAAATATTTTCAAGTTACATTTGTAAGTACCTAATCAAATGTTCTGTTATCTAGTAGCATAAATAGTGAAAAACTAAATAAGTCACGTTTGAAAGAAGATAAGGACATTTAGAAATGTTTTCGTTGAGAATACTTCAGTTTAATTGCATATTTGGGTGAAGTGGTGTGACTAAAATGGAATGGAATTCATAAATGTAAGTACCTAGATACTTAGATATTTGCTGAATAAGTTTTTTTGGCCATAATCGAGACGTCACCGAATTCAACAAAATTAACAGCACTATAGTCATAAGTGGGACTCCTTATTATTTAATCTGTTCAGCAGTTTTTTTTCAATAATGGCAGGTAATATTTTTCAAAAATAAAAAGATACAGCTTCTACCGTAAAAGTCGCCGCCTAAGCATTATTACTTACAGATACCAAAATTATAAAAAATACACTGTTAGGGGAAACCTATAATTTAACATTTAGGAACGAAGTTGTATTATTATAGACTAGCTTTCGCACGCGTATAAAAATAATGAATCCCACATTTTTTCAACATCAGCATTTACGATTATTGACGGCACAGTTGGCGCGGTGGCCGGGCAACTGGCTGCCGTGCGACGTGTCGCGGGTTCGATTCCCGCACGGAACAAATCTTTGTGTGATCCACAGATTGTTGTTCCGGGTCTGGGTGTGATGTGCATGCGAAACGTTCGGGTGTGTGTACCGTTTAAAAAAAAACTAAAGCGATAGATCGACTAAAATACGCAAAACAAGTATATTTTATAGCCTATTGAGCTGAGGAACATTGTACTTATCTATCAGTGGAAGAATTTTGGATATCCGACCCCTACTACCCCCCCCCCCCCCCCCTACTTACAAACCTCTTTATAATATTAGAATAAATAGGAAAAATGTAAATATTCATTTATAAGCTGGAGTTGACAGTTCACTACATAAAACAAGAACTAACACGAGAGCTTGAGTCAGATTAGAAAGAGAAAACGAAGCTAATGCTTATGTCATTGTAAATCTTGGAATGCGTAATTGAATCGATAGTTCTAAAGATTTATAGCTTGTTGATCGTAAATAAAAGAGAACAATTTGCGATTAATGTTTTCATTGAGCATTTGTAAAATTTTATTTGAATTATTTTTAGTAGATCTTTTGGGTTAGGTTTAACTGTTACTCGGGGTGGGCAAGAGCAATGAGGTATCGCCGCCTCGGCCTGTAGCAGGAAAAGGACCAGGGAGGTTTTTAGTCAGTAAGAGTCTGTCACTTCCTCTCGCCTCTCGAAATTATTTACCCAGGCTTACCTTGGGTGAGAGAGAGAGAGAGAGAGAGAGAGAGAAGAGAGAAGCAATTTGATGATTTCCCCTCTCAAAAAAAACGTTAGTTTAAGTGTGGTTCTTTATGGGCTTTGTCGATGATATCAACAATCTCTTTCCTGTGAAAAGCAGCCTATAAGTTATTCCAAACTATACTTATCTATCTCTGTGCCAATTTTATCAAAATTATTCAGTAGCTTTTACGAAAAAGGTAACATATATCCATATATCCATCCATCCATCAATACTTACAAACTTTTTCGTTTTAGTATATTGAAAGCGCCGGTTCCCGGTGCCGGCTTCATCTAGTTTTTCACATATAAATTGACGTGTAAAAGTGCCGTTTTATGGCCTATTTGCAAAAATAAATTCATTGTTTCATTGTTTCATTGAAAGGATATCATCGCTGAGATTGTCTTAGTACTATTTTAGATCTTAAAATTCTTCTTAAACTTGTTATTAATTCAGTATCAAATAAACAAAACACTATTTATTTCGAGTTGATATGGAGCGATGTCATTAGATGTTGAAGATCTCACTTTTCATCGCGAACCGTGTAGACGTGTGCACATCACTTTTAAAAATGAAGATAAATTATATTCCTCTAACTGGATACTACAATATATCATTTCCAAGAATTCCAACATTATAGAACATTCATTTCATTTAACTAGAAGTTAACGCAAACGTACGCTTGCTTAGTAATTGCATTATCTTGAAAGCATGACGAAGTTACAGCTATTTAATTAAAGACATATTGATTTATGAACAGATTTGCTTTTTGTTAATTGCAGCGAATGTTTTGATTTATATTCTAATGTCAGTTGTGATTCAAACTTTTAAAAAATGTAATGAGTTGTTTAACATCTGGCGCGTAACAAGTTTATGGTATAAGGTTCTCTCGTCGGAAATGATTTTCACTTTCTATACCCACGTCACTTGACATTCAAGTGCTATTAAGGCACATTAGTAGTACTATGTAAGTGCTTAAGTAGAAATCTTGCCGCTTTTCCTTGCGTGATGTGTGAAGAAGCAGTTCAATGGGAAATGTGTTGAAAAGGGAACATTCTCACTCGTCATACATTACACGGCTAAGAAGAAAATTATGCTTCAACCACAAAAGGAACTAAAATAACTTTACCCTTATGAGTTGAAGGAGGCCTTTTCTCCCTATGATTCAATGTTTCCATTTATTATTTATTCATGCCCATTTGTTTTATTATCTTTACATATTTCGTTTTGCAATAAACTTTCTCGGACATTTATTGCGTCAAGCACTCACGAAACAACGACAGTAAAAACTAAAATATTCCAAACTGAATATTTTCTCTCATACACGTGCTCGTCTCGAGCCGAACCCTATTCTCCAAACGAGCGAGTGTAGACAGCTGATTCAATACATTAACATAACCATTTCTAATGTCATTGTCGTCGGCATAAATATCAAACGCACCCATGACGACCCAAAAAAAGTTCATTGGATCCGGGAAACAATGGTCCGAGAGCCACTTCCGTCTGCCAAAGACGTGGAACCGAACCCACTTCTGATGCATACCAATTGAAATAACCTGACCGATTTTGATAGGCACGTTGGTGTAGAACGTTGATAGATTGACGGTGTGTTTTGATTCGGTCGGGTTGTCAGAGTGTTTGTATTCTGGCTTCGCATCGACCTCAAGAGGTAAGGCTTTCTACACGCACGTTCGTTGCTTCCATAAGCTGATCTTAGGTGTCGCGTAAATAATTAATAGGCGAGCTCAATGCAAGTTAAGCATGTTGAAGAATGTCATGGTACGGTTTAAAGTTAACCAAGCAAAGTTACAGCATCGTAAATAGATGACATATTTTGATTAATGATTCGATATAACAAAACTATTAACTTAAACTGATAAAGTAAACAATTTTAAAAACCATTTAATTGATATTGGCGTTCACCAAGGCATCATATTAGGCCCACCTTAGTAAACGTAGTAAGAACTGATCCACATGCTGATTGCAGAGCATCATTCAGATCACGTACGATATGTTTACAAAGTTCAAGTACAAGTCGGTTTAAAGTACACAACCATAACCTTGGATATAAAGTGTTTTTCATTTAGTTTTTCTTCACTACTTTTTTAATCTTAACTGTTTGAACGACTTTCATTCTGTTCTTTTGTTATTATTTTGTTTATATTTGAAAGTGGATACAAATATAGTGGCATGTGTTATTAACGTGGTTTACTTTGATATACTCTCATTCCTTGTTTCAATTTTTAATATCCCTGTGTCGCTTCAATACTTCTGTAAGTATGAGTCAAATAAAAAGAATACCTACCCCATCATCTAGAAACACATAATTTAATACTATCACATAGATAACGAATGAAGTAATAAAAAAGCGAGGTTAAAGAATTAAATAATTGAAATAAATCGTGTCAATTCAATGTTAGAAAAAAATGCAACTTGTAAAATTATAGAGCTAGGCGTCGTGGAAGTAAAGGAATTCGCACGGTGGATCAGTACATAATAAAAACTGTACATTTAACAACGGGTTAATATCATTAAAAACGTACTAGCAATGATACGCATCGGCGCATTTCGAATTCATAAAATATTACAGAGCTTTCAAAAACACAGCAACCGTTTTTTTATCTCTGTCTATGGAAAAAAATCTTTTTGCTAGTGAATTTTTTTATTTCTTTTTCCCTATTATTAATTCAATTATCATTTTATAACGTCTTAATTTGTTAATGTTACTTTCTTCAGTTTCGTTAGATATTATTCACTGTGGTCATAAATATTTTTATATTTATTTTTTTGCTTGTCAAATATTGTGAATGAGACAACTGCGAATTGAGCGTCATAGACAAGTTTGGCCTCACAAGGAGGTCCCGTTACAGCTAGCTAACCTGTGATACGTCGCCTGTGGCGATACTATTGACCGTTTTAAGTTTTTATAGCTAAGCTTTTCAAATGGTAATCAGTTTCTACCATTAATTCATATGTATACTCTAGACTTTTTACAATAAACCTTTTATTTTCTTTCTTTGACTATAAAGTAGGTTTATAAAAATATAATTATAAACTAACCTCAATCAACAATAGTTTATTCAAGGATGACATTGTATTCTCGAAAATGGTTATTGTTAATTGTATAATAGCCAAGCACCCACAACACAAGCGGTTTTGTCTAATTAAAAGTTGCCCAACTTTGTCGTAATTAGAAGTTGTTATAACATAGGTAATTGTTATTAAGGAATTGTGATGATTGCGTTATGTTACATCACTAGAGCAGTTTATCGACTTTTACTTAGACTAAACTTGAACGGAATCGCAAGAGCGACACATTAAATGTCAAAATGTCAAAGTTGACAAAAGACAAGCATACGACCTTTGGGTACTATGCATTACATTCGATTTTCGAATTTCGTGAATCTTTTATAATTGTTCTAAAGAAAGACGCACCGAGTTTAAAGTCCCGGGGTTCCCTTTTAGCAATTATTTAAACTTCCATTTTCACATTTTGTAGAGCTTGTAATCAAAGCTCACAACACAAACGTATTCACTTGTTAT